TCCCTCAGTCTGTCCTCACTCTGTATTTTATGTATTTTATTTTTATTCACACTTTCTTTCGTACAGCACTGGGTGCTGGCTGTAGTGATTTTCTTTTTGTGTGATTTTCTTATGGGTCCACGGCTGCTGATAAGTCAAAGTTCCATAATTGTTTTATTGTAACTTTAGGACACTGTTAACAACGACGCTACATTTCATTTTCTTAATATTTTACTCTTTATTTCTTTAACTATAAATAAAACTGTATTAATATTGGAGCCAACCTGCCTCGGTGTGCATCCTTGAATCTGTGCGGCCTCTTTTACTCGCTCTTATCTATTTTTCTTAAATATATATCTCCTGGGGGTGAAATTCCCCTAGGTGGCGTTGTCATTTTTATTAGTTTTTATCTAACCCCGCCGACCACTTGGTCACACATGCATCCAATTCAGAATAGCAAGGGGTCTAGGTGTCACGCATGCACCCATTTTTGGGTATTTTATGAAATTCTGCCAGTACATGAAAACTTCTTCAAAACAGATGGAGATTGTGTTTTTGTTTTTTGAATTTTCTTTGTTTTCTGTAAGCAATGTTCTCAAAGTTGCCTGACAGGATTTATGTTATGTGGCAAAGACTGTGTCCATTCTTCTGAGTTGACAGATTGATTAAAAGCTACAATAGCAATGACCCAGTAAAAGCTGGGAGTCTGACGCTCAGATCACTTGGCATAAACTCATTCATGCCAAGTGAAGAGAAGGTTCTGGAACATAATGTTTTAGAGGAAGTGCTTGGGAAGATAAGTGGAGTAGATCACAATGGTTTGGACGTGGAAGAAACATAAGACGTGATAGAATATAGTGAAGTGAGCATGTCTAGAGAAGATGTGCACCCATTTACATCTAACTTCGGATATCGAATCATGGAAAGAAAAGTAAAAAAAAAAAAAATCACACATAGGTCATGTTATTTGCATGCTGTGTGTTTATAATGCATTATAAACCGGACATTTAATGAAATTATGACAATTTTAAACAATAGCATCAGATTTTGGTTTAGTGTGTAGCATTTATCCTTACCACATCTTCAGCATCCATAGCATTTGAACATATATCAGTAATTACAGCTCAAAGCAAACAGTGATGATTCTTAATTCAGATTAGAAACACAGTAAAGTCAACAAGCTGTAAGTTTTATTCAAGTTAAATGATCTAGATGCTTTATTTAATCAATTAATAAGTGTTTATCTAATTAATACATCCATTTTCTTCTGCTTCTTTGTTTTTCGCCTTGTGTGATGATTCTTTTGTCTACAGACAAAAAGCCAATTGTTGCTATCCTAAAAGCATTGAATCTAATGAATCCAAGGTTGCATTGTGATGGCAGCATTGATGTTCAGCAAGATCATTCCACTAACTATCTT